CAAATTACCAATCATTTAAGTTCATATGTACAACAGTAATTTACATGGTTTATTGATTTAGAAGCGATTGAAAAGGTTATTTACAGTATGTAAAGGTTGGTGTATTACTATTTACAGTTGAAATTTACAGAAATGCAATTTTAAAATGTGTAAAATCTCATTTTATATTACATTTGTAATATCTGGGAATAAGTGACTATGACTGTCGCTTTCTAAAAACTGCAGACCTTTATATGCCTTTTGATTCACACACATGAAGGGAGTTCGGGGAGTTATCTGGGGGCAAGCAGAGCGTGCAACCAAAACCTTTTTTTGACCTCTCTCACTTTCTCTCATTAACAATTCTCACTGGAATTTGATTCATTAATTTGGTAACTTTGTAAATGGACAATTGTTCTTCTTTACAACCAATAAACAGTTCAAATTTACCAGTTTTTCCTGTGGAAGCTGTGGCTTTTTCATTGCAATCACAAAACATGTTTACAGAAGCGGACTTCATTTACCAAAGAAAGAAAAATGTAGACACCTTATCTCGTAATTATGAGAAACAATGTAGAATAATTTCGAGAAAAGACTGTACATATGAGATCAGTATCTCATAAGTACTAGAAAAGATGTCATACTTAGGACATCAGGATCTCATAATTACTAGATGAATATTAGTCTGTCAACATTGTAGTAAAACTGTTATCTATAACCCTTCTATAAAGTCTTCAAGCAATGAAAGGTCTGTTAACTTATAGTCTCTGCATTGGAAGTATCAACCTGATAACTCATCTTTCTGCGGCTTGTGCAGTGGTTCTACTGAGCAAACCAGTGGCCAATCAGTGGCACCTTTCTAGTTACATTTACTTCTCGTAATTATGAGATCTTTTCTTGTAATGATGACATCTTTTCTCATAATTACAATATAAGGTGTTAAAACATTTCTTGCTTTGGTGAATGCAACGTGCTTATACATATTAACTGATAATGCAAGTGAACTCAGTGGTGACTGTGGTGGCTGAACCTCAGACCTCGGAAAAATAATAATCACAAAATAACATTGGAAATGCAATTAGCTTATCTGCCCCAAAGTCAGTTTGAAGCCATGGATCATGGTTGTAGGGTTGTGAATTATTAGAATGATATCTTTATCAATCCATACTCTTTATCAATCCTTACTCTTATTGGCCCGGTTCTTTATCAATACTGTAATTGGCTCTTTGTCATTACAACACAATTACTTTGTTGTTGTTTTTACTATCATTTTCAAAAAAGAATAAATTCAGAACAGGATTAGAATAGATTAATGCACTACCAGACGTGTGTTTCTGAAGCGTCCCAGAAGCGGCTACCCGCTCATCTCCGTGGAGAAACGCCTAGAGTCATAGAGCAGCACATAGCAGATGAACCAGGCAGGAAGTCAGACAGAGAAATTACATAGTAAATCCTGTCAATTTTCAAAATATAACACTTTGTTCAGACTCCTGAAAGACTATTTAACTAAGTAGCCTACTTAACCATAGTAGGAAGCACAAAAATCAAGGACAAATTACCAAATCAACAAAATCGGAACAGGACAGCAAAATCAGACAAGCAAAACCGGAACAAGATAGGGTGTCTACATTTTTATTTCTTTGGCGAATGCACTGCGCTTCCATAAACATGTTTAGGTTTGCAATGAAAAAGCCTTAGCTTGACTCTTTAACAATTCCACTCGTACTAATCCACATAGAAAATGCTATTCCCGCGAGTAGAAGCACATAAAGAACAAATGAAAAACAAGTCAACAGCACCGCGCAGGCAAAACGCTCTGCTCATAAAACGCTTCTGCAATGCTTCCAGTGTGATTTGATGCTGCAAAGACGACGGAACAAAACCGCAACGCAGTCGAGGCCTGTGGAATCCCGGGTAATTCTTACTCATATGCTGCATGCGTGTGCGTGTTTGTAGAAGCTGTGTAGAAGAGAGTACAGATTTAGACATGGCTCTTTATTTTCTCAGCTGACCCCACCTCCGTATTTATGTTATCATGAGAACTGTAAACATTTTTGGTTCATTATGAAATTGTGGTGCAACAAATTAAAGTGGAACACTGAAACTGTCATCCATAAGCCTAGAAGTCAGCTTGTCCATATTACAGGGTTTTAGTGTCTTTTTGTGTTGAAAGTGACACCACTTTTGAATATGTAAAAGCCTGCTTGCAGTCCAGTGATATAATTTGATCCTTGCTTTACACATCAGTCCTTTCAGCACCACACCTCAGGTTTCATATCAGCCCTCAGTCCACCTGTGAGGCTGCAGAGCGGTGTGAAATGGCAATCTTCACTACAGCTTTACCTGCTGGCTGCTATAGCATAACAAGCTCAGCATTTTTCTCTCTAGCACTTCTCCTGTGACTACAGTGTACATTCTGTAGAACAACAAGGCCAAGCTGGCACACCTGCACTACAAAGTATTCTATTGTTCAACCTTTGCTGAAAAGGGAAAGACACTGCAGAATTAAACCAAAGTCCTGTGCAAGCAGTGTGACACTGTCTATAGCACTGGACAAGGATCAGCAAAAACATAAATAGTGCATCCATATAGGCAAATGGGGGCTGTTATGAATTTTGTGAAAAATTAAGCTTTGTCCTGACTATACTGAAAGGAAGCCACTATTTTATATCTCATCATCAGTGTGTCTCCTTAATGATCTTGTTCGTGAAGCATGTAAGCCGCATCAATGTTGCTGCTCAGTTCTTTACCATTTTATAGGCACTGCTCAAAATGTAGCATTCTGGTTCATTCATTAACGGCTGCATCCATAAATCCTATCTGTCAGGAGAGCTTTATTGGAATGGATTGACAAATATTACACACACAACAGGTTAAGACAACCGACACAATGGAGGCTTTAAAAGTGTTAAACTATCCATCACATGTTTACACACATAGCTTTGGTTTGCATTATACAGACTGACATGTAATGTAGAGTGTAGCTTCTTTCCTAGCAAGCTTAGTTATTTAGTTCGATGCCATTTGGTCATTACTAGAGTCACTACTGAAACGTTCCCAGACCTTTGGATGTGATCTAAACACAGGAGAATGTGAAGCTCTGTACATCTGAACATAAATTCTGACAACGCTCCAAATTTATTTACACTACAGCTGGGCTCCATAATGGCTGTGTAGAGCAGGTAGAGCAAATAAACATTGTACTTGAGATGCAACAATGCAACATTGACTTCCCTGATATTGATTCTGATACAAAAACTGAAGGACATGACCGATAACAAAACCAATCCGATATGATCTCTTTGTTTACTAATTTTAAATCAGTAAACACCTCTGTAAACATAATTAAATTAAAATACAATACACTAGCAAATACATTTTTGGAAGTTATATGCAACTGTCAGTATCGCAGCACCTCTGGTTTAAACATTAAAGCAACAACACATTAAAGCCTTCATATTAAAATGCATTTATTGAGAAGCACATGCTGAAATGAAACAGTGATGATTTGGCATTAGCAGAATTAGCTCCACAAAGAAAGCGAACGAAAAGAAAAGTATATTTAGCCTACCGTGGATGGGTCTTGTCTGGCAGATACCTGATTCGCTTAATAGTGTTAGTGTGTATTGGTCAGGTAAGATTGGTGCAAAGCAAAGACAAAGAGAGAGCTGGGGTGTGTGTAAAAACAAGTCCAGCAAATACAAAAGGTGTTTGCACAATCAAATCTATATGACTCGTCTTTAACCTATATTGTTGCTGTTTTTATATTCACATTAGGAAGAAAAATGCAATTCTTGTTCCATATTTTGTATGCAAGTGTGCACATTTTCTTCCAGTTCTCAATATTAGGACAATCCAACCCTTTCAAACTTCACTCCCAACCTAACCCTGACAACACACTGTATGGTATGTACAGTAACACTGTATTAGACGCTGTAATGTCCCCGATGGCCCACTTTCCTCTGATGCACCACTGCTGTGTAAACAAATACCCCGAGGTCACCCTCCAGGAGGTCAAACTGAGAAGCAGTACACCTTGCGTCTTAAAAGTAGACCAGACACACTTTTAAGGAAAGCTGTAGCTTATCTTGCGCAGCGGGTTCAGCAGCGAAACTGACAGAGGAACACTCCCGCCGTTTTTTTACGGCATGCTGATAACCTTTCCCTAGCATGTTCCTGCTATCAGACGAAGCTTTCAAGATCATGCAAATGTCTACAGACACGCTGTATACACTGCCCATGAATCATTGAACATTACAGCTTAACTCTGCTCATGTTAGGACCACATTCTGCATGTACGTCTGGCTTTTGGAGAGTGTGCTCATCCTCAGCTGTGGAACAATGCTTACAACACTACATCACCCATAATTCATCACACAGACATAAATGCACAAGGTGCACAGAGTGGTGCAATGACGATAAATTCTAAAAATAGCAAGCTGAATAAAACCTCTTTACACGGGAACTATGACATGATAAAGCACCAATGAGGGTAGTTGTCAAAGTGTTTCTCTGTGTAGGCACAGAACATACTTCATATCTGCATGATAAAGTAATATACTGAAAGCAACGTCTTACTATTACTGCAAAATCTCAGACTATATATTTATCTCAAGAGGGCAATACATTACAATATGTCAACCGAAAGAGGATTATGAAGGAATAATACATTTTTAATGCAACTATTTAATAAATAAAGTAGGTGAAAGCTAAACAAACAAGATGACAACAACATACACTAGAAGAAAACTTCCATTCTTTTTCTCCTTGTCCCAAACAAAGCACAAAATTTTTTTTTTTTCATATTCTTAATAAAGAATTTATTCATTCCTTAAGAGATAACAACGCTTAATTCAAGCCAGGCAATAAGAGATTTTGACAATGTGAATTCAAAAAGAACATTTAATTACTATGCAGAGCAATATCCGTCTCTCTTTGACTGCAACTACTGAGTGTAAGCAGCAGTACCAACTGGCACCAAATGAATAAATGGATTATAATGACATATGCTGACTACTCACCAGGTCGTGGTTTGTGGAGTTGGAATCATCTTCAGGGAAGGGGACATAGACAGCTAAGGCCATACAGTTGGCAAAAATAGCAATTAATATAAAGATATCAAATGGCCTGAGAAAAGAAGTTAAGGAAGACATGACAGAAAATTATGTAACATAGCAAGAAGAAACAATAAAAAATCGCCTACACTATTTGTAACTAAACTATTCACAGAACACTAGACATGGAAACTAGTTAATGTATCAGAGGTCACTGCCTTGGGTTTTAAATGGCAGAACAAAGCCATACAGGATCTGTAAAACGTTTTAACAGAGAAACAAACATCTTAAATATAGTTGTCTTGACACTTTCTTCACACTCTTATGATCACTGACACGGTATTATAACCGTAACTGTCAGTACTGCACTATTGCATGCCGTCCATGCAGAATAATTTGAGACTCTTGATACAGCCACAGATGCATTTCCCAAAGTGTACCAGTAGTACAATAAATCCCCATTGGCTTTTTTTTCAACAAACACACAAGGGTGGATTATGAAATGTATCTTTGCGATTCACTTTAGGCAATCTCCTTTATAACATCTGATGGCTTTTGTGATGAAGGCATCTGCTTAATCAACAAACCCACCAGACTGTCACACTGCTGTGCTGTCCCTTTATCTATATACCGGGCTAGTATTGTGGGATTTAGTAACGAAAAGTTCACTTCATCTTTTGTGCAAGAAACATGTTTTTTGTACCTCAGTTTAACATAATTTTTTAAGTTGGGCCCAGGAGAAAGATTCAAAAAGTATATAAACTACTGTGTGCTTATCTATATAATGTGACAGCTCTCCTGCTTGGTCCACACTGATGTTGCTTTGCTCGATACAGGGCATAGCTGCAGAGCAGCAGCCAGTCCACAGGCAGATCTCCTCACATCACATTGCTTTTGATTTCTTTTTCTTTGTTTTTACAGCATCCATGCAGCACATTTTCACTCATCCACTCCCTACACTACAGACTTTACAGATTCCTCCCATGGGTTTTGTTGGTTTTGCATATATTGCTGTAAATATAATATAATAAAATACAAATTAATGACTTGTTATTTAGTTCACCCGTGTGTCTCCTGTTATTGTTGCAGTCCAAGAGCTAGGCTGTGAAAAATAGGGGCTCATCCAAAACTTTCTGGGTTTTTTTCCCTCCTCACGGCCTTAGCAGGTGGAGATGGGAGTTTGTAATTTGTGAATGAAGTGTGCAATCAGTGGAACTTGTCTCTGGTGCATCAGAACCATGTGTCCTGAAGTGAATGAAGGAGAACAAGAAATCAATTTTGAAGGCTAACTTGTTTGAGGATGGAGATCTTAATGTCATGGTGCATCCTTTCAGGTCTGCACCTGGTGTTGCTGGCTTAATTCTTGGTCTAACTTTTCAGCAGCAAAAGGAACTGCTTTTGTTACAGTTACAGCACAGTACCTTCAGCAGCAAGTGGAAAGGACGAAGTGGATTGTTGAGAAAATAATGCACGAGACAGAACTTCAAATGCTGTATTTAGAACAGTACAAACCAAGTCTGATTCGTGATGGTAGGGTCACAGTTGGCTCAGTTTGGGGTGTTGCTCCTGTGTCCTCAGAGTTGTCAACGCAGTTTGATGTGGCTGGCAATTTGCGTTTGGTTCCGAAGGTTTTTGAGAGCGATCCTGACACTTTCTGTTCGCTGTTTGAGCGTGTAGCTGACAGAAGGAATTCAGTACTTGTTGCTGCGTGTTGCTGCAATGTGAGTTAACGGGCTCAGGAAGGATACTGTTCCCTTGCAGTGAGTGAAAGACGAAGTTATTCTTCGGTTAAAGTTGCTGTTTTGAAAGCACACGAGTTGGTACCAGAAGCTTACAGGCAAAGGTTCAGCACATGGAGATTGCAAGGGAGTTGGAAACAAATTTGAATCTGTGGTGTACGGCTCTTGAAATTAAAACATCTGATTTGTGCAATTGAATGGTTTTGGAACAGTTTGAAATGTCTCTGCCAAGCAATGTTGCCACCTACGTTAATGAGTGTAAAGTTAAAACTCCTGCCGGGGCCGCTGCACTGGCAGATTAATTTGTTTTGACACACAAAGTAGCTTTTGAGTCCCGTGCCTGTGATGCTTGTGTCAAGGTGCATTTGAGAAAGTGGTTGGATGACTGGCCGGCTAGGTCAGAACAGCTGTCAGGAGGACAGTCTGATGCTTAAGTGTGTAACTATTGTAAGGAAAGGCGGCAATGGAAAGCTGAATGTCCGGCTATAAGACCTAAGGGCAAGCATCATGGAGATGTGTATGTGATATTTGCTGCGCTGGCTGCGTCCATTCAAACTGTGCCAGGTTCTGCTTTGTCCTGTGGCCAGGTAGATGTGAAGGCGGGTAGCCAGGCTAAGATTCCAGAATACCAACCATTTGTGTCAAATGGCATTCTGTCATTGATACAGAGTTCTGTAAGGGTGCCAGTTAAGATTATGAGGGATACTGGTTCCTTGGATTCATTTGTTTTGGCCTCAGATTTGCCGTTCCCATGAGAGTGATACTGGTGATTTGGTCTCTGTCCGTGTTATGGGTCTGCAGGTGTTCCCAATTCCATTTCATAAATTGTTGCTGGAGTGTGATTTGGTGAAAAATTGCTCCGCAAGTAACACTGCTTACACAGGGTAATGGGAGACCTTGTAATGCACAAGCGTTGCCATTGGCCAAGCTGTGCACTAGTGCACAGTATTTGGGGTTTTGCGCTTGGTTTACAGCCCCATGCCCTTATTGTTTTTTTTTTCCAACAGATTGGTCTTCCTTATCCACTTCCGGCTTTCCTTTCAAGCTCTTAAATTTGCTTCTCTGGGCATCGGGTGTTGATGAGTTGAGGGCAGTGCAGAGTGGAGTTAGAGAGTTATTATTCTAATTATTTATTTATTTTATTTTACTTTATTAATCTTATTAATTATTAATTATTTTCTCTATTAATCATTTGGCCTACAGATCAGAAAATAGTGAAAAACACAGTTTCCCAGTGCCCATGGCGACGTCTTCAAATGTCTTGTTTTGTCTGACCAACAATCCAAAAAGCCAAAAGATATTTAATTTGCACTAGTAGGAAACAAAAGAGACTCAGTGGCTCTCAAAATAGTAGCTGATTCTGTTCTACTCGATTAATCAATTAAACATTTCAGCTCTATGAATGAGTAATAATCTTTGGTCAAATCTCAACAGTCAAACATGCACCCACCACCACATTAAGCCACTGTAAAGGATACTTCCACTCCACCAGGCTGATGCAGGCCCTGCGTATGGGGTTGTTGAGGTTGAGGCAGAACAGAGCCCTTGGTGGCCTGCTGTTGGCGTTACTGCCCTGTTTCTTGCTTTTGGCATACTGCTGCCGCTTCTTCTGTGCCAACGCACCTGCCGGGATGGTAGTGGACGCTGGGGCAGGCAGGGCAGAAGTAGCGGGTGGTGCCGCAGGGGCTGGGGCTGGGGCTGCAGCAGGGGCAGGTGTTGAGGCGGGAGGGGCCTCTGGGGCAGTGGGGGCTGGGTCTGGGGCGGGCCCGTTGGCGCTCATGGTGCTGGCGTGGCTCTGTGAGGAGCATCCAGCAGCATGGATCTGCCAGGGTAGACAGGGAGGCTAGAGAAGGGCAGAGTAGTCTGACCAATGAGCTGGCACGTCACCAGTGGGAGCGACTCTGGTGCTGCTGGCATAATTTGCCTCTGAGAATGAAAAAAGGGTGAGAAGAGATGGCATTAGTACATTTTACACCTTTTAGAACAATAAAAGATATTGATATTGCTTTTAAGTGTGCGCAGAGCACGTTACATCTGTCCTCAAATCACTACAAAGTACTGGAAGACTTCTTTTCTGCCTGACAATAAAGCTCTGAATGGCTTTGTCCCATCATCATTTGCTTAAAAGCTACTCAGAGCTCTCTATCTTATTCTGATATTCTTAATTATGCTTGAGTCAATTTAATGTCTGGTGAAGCTGCTTTTAGTTTTTATGCCTCTAGATGCTTGAGGCTTATTGAGGAACTGAGATGTTTCCATTCTCCTTTTACAAAACCTAAAACAGTTCTTCTTTTATTGCTTTTAAATAATGTGCAATACATTGTTTGTAAGTAAATATTCTAGACATGGACATTAAATTACACACACATACAAAGTGTTGAAGATGACAGAATTAAGTCAATAAATCTTGGACAGCTCTTTGCTGAAACTAACAATTCATTTTATTATTGATCAATCTGCTGCTGATTATTTTCACAATTAATCATATAGTCTATAAAATGTCAAAATTTTGAAAATTGCTCATCACATCTCATTTCCCGGAGCCCAAAGTGATGTCTTCAAATTACTTCTTTTGTATGACCAACAGTCCAAAACCCAAAGACTCTTAACTTATTGTCATAAATGACAGCAAATCCTTCTTTGAAGACACTTGAAAAATGATAAATCAATTATCAAAATAGTTGACAATTAATTTTCTTTCAATCAGCTAATCAATTAATGGACTAATGTTTGCAGTTTTACAGCTTACTGAACTGCACTTGTCTCTTGAAGTCTAAAGAAGCGATTAATGTTTCTCCTCAAACATGCAAATTAGATAATTCCATGTCATAACATGTGAAATCTTTCCTGGTGTATACCGTTCCTCAAACTGTGAAAATAATGATATATCCAACTGAAGTTGAGGTCCTATCCTACAAGAATGGTGGCAGGTTGGCTTGATGTTGCCATCAACAGCCCAAACAATCCAAAAGTTCCTGAACGTGATATATTATGAGAAAAATAAAGGCAGATGACATCCCGCTCCAGCCAAAACACACACACACACACACACACACACACACACAGACACACACACAGACACACACGCACAATTTAAGCTCCAAATTCAGGGCTGCCACTCTCAGGCATCACTCTGGTCACATCAGTTGTATAAGTCCTTGAACTGCGAGCAGGCCCCGCAGATGAAGAAACAGAAAAGGTCACACTGCAGTGATGGGAAGAATGAATCTTCATATATTGCACATAAAAATCTCGTATGAGTGTAACTGTGACACAAGGCTGAACATCTTGTGGTGAATTCGGGCTGCCAGCTCTGCATCTCCTTTGTGCTACAATGCTGCCTCCATATAGCCGAGGCTAGTGCAAGCTCAACATGTGAACAATGCGTATGAAATGCGCTTATTTTGGAATATTAATTTCACTGCTGCATCGACAGCGTCGACCGTGTACCCGTGATGAGAATGAACACTGACATTTCCACGAGCGATTCGAGACAAAACAGCCATCATCAGGCGTCCTCACATTTCTCCTTGGACACCACCAAGGTGGGATATGGTGAAATCCCCCCCCAAAAATGATGTGAAATGACAGCCCGACTCCGGGCGCTGGTGAAAATTGAGCAGCGCACAGCCGTCAGATGGTCCTCGCTGCTCAGCAGAAACAGCTGGCAACGTTTTTACAACAAACCTCAATCTCTTATACTCGGGGGCTAATATAGAGGACAGTCCACATGACCAGAGCCCTCATCGGTTTGTAGAAAAGGTATCAGCACAGACCGTGCACTATTAAAATGTATTAAAATGTAGGCTGTTATTTCTCCTCTGAATCCGCAAAACATGACAGCGTCGCGAGTAAAGTGGCCATTAATAACTGCTGTCCTCTGACAATAAAGAAAAAGCATCATCATTGCCTGCATGCAGGGGAAACGCAGCTATGCTAAGAGGCTAACTTCAGTTTGTGGAGCAGAAACAGCACCGTGCAGCAGGCTACCTTTTCTGAAGACTTTACAATTCAGCCGCGGTCCTCTCCGCTCGGTGACACGGGTCCGGTGCTTCGGAGGGCGAAAAACGCAGGTCCGGACTGAAAAGGCGGTTTAAAAATCATCAGCTCCGGCAGCGGGAGGCACACATGAAGCCTGTGCATTAATTAAGCTCTTCCATGGTGATCGTGGAGATCTGGAGACAGGGAGAGTGCGCACCAGACAACAGAGCATCCTCGTCCGCTGCCTGCTTATCGTCACGGCGCCAGTAAACAGTGAAACGAGTGCACACCAGAGAGCAGGCTCCCCTCCTTCTGGCCCCGACTCTCCTGCTGCTGCACGAGAACCTGCTCACAGCAAATAGCCAGGTGCTATTTCGTGTAACCACTGTTACCGACTGGTGGTCCTTCAATATAAGGCGACACCTTTCAAACAAGGTGTCACATGCAGCTTTCATTAATCACGTGAAGGTCACGGTAACTACTGAGTGGACTCAAATCAGTGTGAGCCTTTAATTTTCAATGGTATGGTTACAGTTGTGGTGGTAAAGATGGAGATAATCAAACACAGGTATAGCAACGTATCTTAACAAATATATAGCCTACTGTGTAGCCTACCACTTTTTAATAAGGCACCTTTAAATGGCTCATAAGTTGTAGGCCTGAATTATTGAGTTATAGGCTAAGTTAAGTAAGTCTATGTAGCACCTTTTTTAGAAAAAGCGTGAAAGGGATTTCCATATCCTGGCAAACCAAAAGTGTTAACTGCTCTATAAAATATTTATAAATGAGTCAATCAGTTAGCAACGATTCAGTAGGTCTATCAGTAGAGTGCTGATCTCCCAGGTGTGGTTGGTCTGGGGGCATTTGGAACAACAGGTGCAATGCAGGCTGTGAGTCCAGCCTGTTTGCATGAGAGAAGTGGGATGAAGTGGAGAAAGGGTTTTGTACAGTGTATGTTTTCTTATAGTCTATAGCTAGATGTTTACAAAGCTTTTTTAATAAAGTGTTTTTGGTATAGTCTCAGTTTTTGCATAGAATAGTGTAATGGTATTGTAACCGTGCGTGCTGGGTTTGCCTAACTGTAAACTTAATAAGGAAACAAGGGGATAAGTCAAAACTTCTGAATGTCAACATTGTTATTTATTTAGAACATTACATGGTTACACCACACAAAATATAACCCGTCCCTACCTCCCTCTCCCTACACAAACAGAGAAGAATTAAATCTCACTCAATTTTCCCTCCCGGCTCCCTTATAGTCAATATGGCGACGAAGATGACAAAGGACAAAATGTGGCCTGCAACAGAATAGCTAAGCCTTGTTTGTAGCCTAGCCGATTGCCGCTAATGCCTTGTCGTAACACAAATAACTCTAAGCTTTAGATCAGTCACCAAAATAGTTTTTTCAAAAATTGTGAATTACCACAACCACAAGAGGTCCTTGAGAATATGGTCGTAAGTGTGTACAGATAAGGTATTAGGCTGATGTGTCCAGTAGTATGCAAGGTAGGCTACAGACAAATACACACAGGCACACACAGTAACATTACTTACACCTGGCGGAGAAAATACAGACATTTAGTAGGCCCTCCACAATACTTGATACTATAGAAATACAGTAAAACCAGATTTGACACAAAAATGCTGTATGCTAGCAGGTCCTGTACACGGGAATAATCTGAACTGTTGTCAGATGTCCACTATCATAGTTAAAAATGCAATAACTGATTTTTTTGTCCAATTCAGGGCAGCGGTATATTGACATATCATCACCTTTTAAGTTGATATGGTAATCTTGTTAGCAAACAGTTGCTTACACATCCAGCTATGTTACAGAACATTATCATTCATTTGGAGTCATGTTTCTTTCCACCTGTCCAATATTTACTCTCTTTTAGCTCTTAATTTGGTCTCTACCAACTCCTGAGGGAAATATGTGGCTCTTTGGTTGTTAAATGCTCCACTATGTTCACCAGTTAAATGCTAACTGTGTCTGCCATTTGGTGCTAAGTAGGTAAAACAGTAAAGTTGCCTGACAGATGCTTTAAAGCTCCTTAAAGCCAATGAGAGCTGCAGATCTATGAGTTAGTTGTCAATTATAGCCTCTTCAAGACAATTTTTTTATAATGATATTCATGTCTCACCTGACAGTCAGTGAAAATGTTTCCTTTCCTCTGACAATGTTCCCCTCCTTTAAATTGTTCCCCTTTAAACTACATTTCCCGTTTGCCTCCAGAGCATGTGTTCATGATGAGAAAGTAAGTCAACACCACCCTGTCTGATCTAGTTGTAACACACCTACCTCTCTCCCGTTACAGCTGTTCTTTGTAAGCAAGAAGATTCTGGACAGCACTGTCCCTTTACTTATATATTTTATCTTTGTACAGGGTGAATTTGAGATGCATTTACATTCAGAAAGCATTTATTTTGTTCGGATTTTGCTACAGAGATTAAAATATATCTATTAGCTACATTTTAAAGAATGCTTCCCCAGATATTGCAAAATTACGTTACTGTTATTACTGGTAAGATCCATAACTATAAATTATCAGTCCAACTCATTTATTTCTGATCCTAAATGATGTCATTCGTTTTGTGGTGTTAGTTTTATAAAAGACATGCCCTCTTCAGCCAGTACTGTTAACATTGTCCTAACATAAAAATGCTTTTTGTAAGTAAACAGGCAGTCTGGTAAATGCAGAAGTATCACACGGCACTTGTACATCTGTCACGCACACAGCTAATCCCACCCTTATGAAATACTAATGACCAAATGATAGCTTTGACCCACAGAAGACCCTTTAAAAACCCTTCCTGATTCTAATTTCAGTCACTTGTTAGTTGGTATCAAGCCTCTTCAGTAACACCAGTACTGAAGAAACGGCAAACATTCAGCAAGACAGGCTTTGTTAATGCATTGTAATATAAAAGTACTTCAATTTTTGGTTTCAATAAAATGATACAATAAACTGTTTTAGTTGCAATTTGTTCAAATAGCAGTGACCACAGTTCAGCACTACTGAGCTAGTCAGTGTTGTGAAAATCTTACCTGCCAGAGTAGAACAGCTGAGCCGAGGCCTCTGTTTCACCTACATGTCCCAGCTGACAACAAAGAGCAAGAAAATACTCATCTTCTTCCCTGTCGGGCTGGTCAGTAGGTGAACTGCATCAGCGTTTGATTAGAGGTGGAGAACATCCGGGCGAGGAGGCACCGTATCAGCTTACCTGTCTGCCCGGGATAATGGTTTCTTCTAGAATCGTCTTGAATTATTTACCTATGGTTGAGGTTGTGTGTGTGTGTGTGTTGTTGTTGGTAATTGTGGGGCTGCGTGTGTCAAATGGTATGTATGGTATGGTTGTAACACTTTTTGCTTCAGCAAATTTAACTCTCTGAATTTTTTAGCTAGAGTTCTCTGACTTTTATGCAAAGGACCCACATTTGTTCACTACAAATGGCACCAATTCAATCGTGAGTTACCCAGGGGTAGGTTGTAACACATGCTGGGGTAAGACAAAAGACAGTAAGACAATAAGACAAAAGATGCAAAATTGATGATGCCACACTATGATATGCTTCAAAAACAGGTAGTGATATAAAAGAACAATTTCTCTCTCACTATAACAGACTTAGTTTGATGACTCACGCACATGTATGTGCTTGTAAAATTATCTAGCCTATAGAACAAACTTACTTAACAGTATACTTAATAAATACTACTACAATGTACTTAATTAAAGAACATCTCTGTACATCCTTAGGTCTAACAAATCAGTCACTCTGACTGTGACTCTGACAAATCAGAGTCTGACAAATCAGAGTCACAGTCAGTGTTTGAAGTGGACCGGTAATCACCGGTACCAGCACTTCTATATTTTACTCTTTGGCGTATTGGGACTTTTTCTTGCGCACCGGCATTTCTCACAAGCTGCCGGTACGCTTCTCTGCCCTCTCCACCGGCGGAGACAGAGTATGGAAAAGCCTGAGTGCCGATACACACGCCAACATGTACACAATATGTGAATGGGAAGTACTGGTCACAGAGCTGACAAATGAATACTAGTAACCCTGCAGCGCAGGCTTGGTGGGTCAAGACTGCAAGGGGTGCTCTGTAAAATATTAAAAGCTATATCTGCTGTATAAGCATAGTGGTTTGAAATTAGAAAGGAAAAAATGCATCCCATGTTGGCTAAGAAACTACATTTCAATCTAATATTAATCAAACAATTTTACCTGCAATAGTATAGACACTAAACAAAATATAAATTTACTTTCTGACCTCAAAATCTGTTTTTTCTCTATATATTCTGAATGTGCCCGTTTCCAGCCTTGACAACCACCTTGCCTGATGGGGGAGGAAGTAGGTAAATACTGAAATGATGACACAACTCCTATCTTATCTCTAATTGGTGAAATTGGTGTTGTTACAACTCTCCCCATGTTACAACAATACCCGTTCTTCCCTATATATATATATTTACAAGTTATACTTAGCTAAGCAAATAGTCTCCTTCATATTTAGCTACAAACCTCCTCATAACTCTCAACAAGAAAGCAAATAAGCATACCCAAAATGTCTAGCTATTTGATGGTTTCTAATGGGCTGACAGCCTTTTACTTCTACCCTAACGTACTACTTGCAGAACTTTGCATTTCATTAGGAAACATACAGTATCACAAATGTTTCTTTTCCTATAGCCTCACCCTCTAAAAAACATTTTTTCCTTTTTTCTCACTCTCCTTTTCTATTTGACCTGGTTTCTTCTGTACTGATCATTTCCTACAAAGAACGCCATATGGTGGGGAGGATGGTGGAAATAACAGTTATATGTTTCAGCGTTCATTCACCTGGAATAGCTAATGTGCATGTGTCTGTGTGTGTTTGTGTTTTCTGTGAGATTGTGTGTGTCTCTCTTCCCCTTCAAACACACAAAAACCCATTCTGTAGTCCCCAGTAGGAAAACGAGATGCAGTTCATTTTAACTGAAAATGGAGTAAAAACACAGACAGAGGGTGCAGTGGCCCCCAGGGATCAAGGAAGCCATTTGGCACAGTACTTCAGTCTGCCCCCACCTCTGATTTGATCTGCTTCTCCACTCTCTGCGCCACCAAACTCCCAAACAAACTTGACATTATTCAAATATGGTGATTCACTTTGAAGCTGAATCATTTGTCTGAACTTTTCTGATTTCACAGTACCTGATAAAGGAACGTTGTGATCAAAACCCAAGTTTTCTGTTATTTTTCAAAAGGTCCCTAAGAAGATGCTTTATCTTGTACAGTTTGTAATCAAATCAGACAAATATGATTCTACACAGAGCAGGTCTTTGGC